CTCCTGCTGAGGGCAGGGCTTTCGCACTCCTGGCCCGGGGTGCTCCCAGTACTGAGTCCCCCTCCCCAATTCCAGGTGGCCAGACTGGCCCTTCTCCCAGGGGTGGGCGGCTGGCTTCCCTGAGCCTCCTCCTGACCGCGCCTGTGTCTCTTTGTCCCTCCAGGGTGCCAGGCAAGCGACAGGGAGCCAGGGGGCACGGCTTCCCCACCAGAGGGCAAGTGTCAGGGCTCCAGCACCAACTGCTTTGGGAACCGGTCCAGGTACAGCTTGCTCCTGGGGGGGAGGCTGGCGCAGGGACAGAATGAGAGGGGCGGGGGCAAGGGGTCCAGGACCAGTGAGGGTGAGTTGGGAGAGCCAGGCGGCCCCTCTGCAGTGTGGGGGAGCAGGCGAGGGCGGCCTCTTCCGACCCGTCCCCGCCGGGCTTCTCTCCGCTGAGCCATAGGCCAGCATGAGTCCGGGCGGGCGGGGACCAGAGGGTCTCTGAGCCCTTGCAGGGCTTCCTAGGCCCCCTCCGCAGAGATCAGGACTCGAAGCTGGAGCAGGACGGGGCTGCCGCTGTTTGCTGCCCTCTGTCCGGGGCCTCTGGGTGCCGGCCTGGCCTTCCTGCCGCCGTGGCTCAGTGGCAGAGCACCCGCTTGGCATGCCAAAGGTCCCGGGTTCAATCCTCAGCATGTCCAGTTCAATGTACAGACCTGGAAGGGGCCCTGTGGGTTCCTAGTCCAGCCCCCTGCTCAGTGCAGGGTCAGCCTAGAGCACCCCTGACGAGTGTCTGTCCAGCCGCTGCTTCAAGACTGCCGGGGGGGGGGAGTTCTGTCCCCTAATGCCCGGTCCGGTCCCTTCCCACCCTTTATTTGGACCCACGATTGGGAGTCCAAGAGGAGGAACAGCTCCCTGCCCTCCTCTGAGTGGCTGTCCTGCAGGGACTTGCAGACAGGGCCAGGCAGGCAGTGATGGGAAAAGACCTCTTGCTGCCGGTCGGAGTGGATAAGGCTGACATTGAGGGACTGAGGGTCAGCGTCCGTGCAGGCCTTCTGGGCGCATCCGTGCGTTTGCCAAGACTGCCCGCGCCACCGTTCGCTTCTGCCGCGCCACGCGGGGGCTTCGCCTGTCAGTCGATCTGCTGTGGGGAGCTCTGCTCAGCTTTGCTGTTCCAGTTTGGTGTCGTGGTTAAGAGTGGCAGGACTCTAATCGGGAGAACCGGGTCTGGTTCCCCGCTCCTCCTCCATGTGCAGTCAGCTGGGTGGCCTTGGGTCAGTCACCACTCTCTCAGAGCTGTTCTCTCAGCCCCACCTACCTCCCAGGGTGTAGGAAGGGAAGGAGATGGCAAGCCGCTCCGAGTGAGTCGTCTTCCTTTTCTTCCCAAGTGTCTGTCCCACCCCCCAAAGGAAACACCTGGCTCCCACAGTTTCACTAGCTGCTGCCCACGTTTTTTCCCACTTCTTTTTACAGTCCCAAGGGCCAGATTTGCTCCTCAGAAGTAAAGACTTGTGCCTGCAGACTCCTAATTCTGCACTTTAGAGGCACCCAGAGACACCTGCACGGAGCTCAGGCCGCAGGAGGCCCTTCAGCCCGTGGGGGCAGGAGCCCTGGAGCATTGTAGACCTGGGGGTCTTCTTGGGGCGGGGCGGGAGATACCCCCCCATTGCCTGTGATACCATAGATTCCTTGGTGCCACGCAGGGGCAGGGCTAGCCAGCTGGCACTCACAGGCGGCCTCCTGAAGGCTTATGGCTGCTGTTTGGGTTGGCAGAATTCTTGCCCGCCCGTGGGGAGGAATGAGGCATCTGCCTTGTTTGGAGCCAGGGCACTTTGGCATGGAGGTGCCAAATTCCCCTGGGAAGAGTGCTAAGAAAACTGTGCTGGGAGGAGGAGGAGGAGGAGGGGGA